CATGTAATATTTTATATACTTCTATTTACTTTGAAAAACCAATAATATTTGAGTCATGTTGAAACATGATAAATAATAATCGTACACAATAGTTGAACAATAATATACATATTAGATCATTAGATTGTTACTGAATAATATATAATTAGGTAATACCATCGATTCAATTGATATGGTGTATTCGGTGACAAATTGTTCGTGTCCTGTATATAGTTTATTGCAATACCATCATACAAGTGTTGACGAACTGTTCACACTATGGGTTTTGCACCGACGATCGGTTATTATCGGTCGTTATTATTTTACATCCTATTTAATATTCGCGCAAACAGTGGACCAGGTGTTCAAAGTGGCAAATACCTACGTCACGACCGTTTAAATATATGAAATATATATAAGTATATATTTGACACCATTGATATATTTTAGGTTTTCATAATAATTATGGCATTTTATATGGATTTTATATTATTTTAATTTTAAAATTTTAGTTTGCTGAGCAAACTTCATTTAACTGTTTTTTAAAAAAATATAATGCTAATAAAGTACACAATTTAAATTACTAAATAATTATTAAATTATTTACAATTGATATTCTACGGCCTGTATATTTTCATATTATATTCTGGCGCCTTCTTTATGTGTTCTGCCACCAAACATAATTTTATATACGTTAATTGATGAACACATATTGCATAACAGAACACATTTTTGGGAGCAATATTTAATTATAACCATTCGACTTATAAAACGATTTCATAGAATTAGCAGAAACCAAGAAGTATTTCATGATGGAAGACATGTAATCAAAAATTTCTATCAAGAAATTATCTTGCTTCCAAGTTACTAGATTTTCAAAATAAGGTAAAAAGTTCTTTTGAATTAAGGTGATTGTCGTTTCCCTTGTTTTTCTTATTATGTTTTGTTTTCAATAGTAAACTTGTAAACCTGACATAAGTTATTCAGTCTATATATTTTTTGTATGTACCTGACATAATATATTTTTCGTTTCAAGTAATCAACATTTAATTATCGATCTGTTTTTGAAATTCAACACTTGCTCAAGTCTCACAAATTATTTATTTAATTTATACGTATAGGGGTACTGCAACGTTTTACACAAAGCTTGTAAATTAGATGTAGTGCAAGTGTAATTAGTCGTAATTATACTACACAGCTATTATAATAAAAAATTGAAACAATTAATAATCACTTGCAAAAGACTTTCATTGACGAAATTTTATCTTTCATTCTCAAGGCAAATATTTGTCCAGAAATTACAGTAATGCATGGTATTTAAAAATCTACCGAGTAATTACAATTGTATGCAATCATGAGGCTATAATAGTTTTAATCTTTATTTGTACGTACATACGCATACACGTACATTATATGCTATTTTTAAATATATGTATGAACCATTTAATACACATGTACACAGTATAAGTAAATATACTTGTATTATTTTTATTGTTTTATGCTGTATCACAGTTCACAGATGTTTCGGATTTGAAAATGTTCGTTGTACAGTTTGCAATATACAACACATACTTCTATGCACGGTAATAATCTCCACAAATAAATAAATACATATTATCGACTAAAATTTTTTTTTATCAATTTTTTTGTGTTCATTCATATGTACTATTAACTAATATTTTATATTTGTTTATAATATAACAATACTATATACTGAAAACAATAGTTATATTCATAGTTCAGTATTTTATATTAAGATTATAACTGAAAAAAAAATTTGTATCGGAATACGATGAGGTGCCATTTAGTTTATAGTTTATAATTGAAAATTATGGAATGACATTTTAATATCTAATATAAGTGATAGCTGTTAGGCAATAATTTAGAAAACCTCAACATATACATCAATCAAAATTAAGTAATGTATATACTTACACATATTATCAAGTATATGTAGCTTGGTAACTATTGTTTGTCATTGTTGACCATTTTCCGCAGTCGGCAAACGTGTACCTATTTACAAATATATGATGTTGAACAATTTGAAATCATTGTTTATATTTATGTTGAAGGTAGGCATATTGTCATATTGAGGAACAACGATGGTCGTTGTTCACTTTTTTTTTCTTAAAAAATTATCACTATGTGCTTTATAACACGTTTTGGTGTTTTGTAGTATGAATACATTTGTACACTTTCGTTTTATCGTTTTAACCAATGGCGGTTCGTGAGTTTTTAATGAAGTGGTGCGAATTTAAAAATTAATTTAACGAACATGCAAGTATATACTTATAGGTACATACATTATACACTATATTAAATTATTATTTGTAGATTTTATTTCATTACCTTCTATTTTGTTTAGAATATATATTATACTTAAATATTAAATTTATAAGTAAAACTTATTTTTATTCTTAAAGGATAAAGATATGATAAATTCGAATCAAAAATAAGATATTAATTTTTTTATAACAATTATATTTCAGCCTTCAGTTACATGTTTAAAATGTATCTTTCTCTTCTGCGAACCTAGTTATTACTTCTTTATTGAAGTTCGTAATATTGTTTATCATTTTTTCAATCAATAACATTGCTAGGGCCATCCTGCCAAACACTAGCCTCTGAGATTCTACCGACGCCCCAATCCACCATCTCATCAATGTGTTATCAAAAATAATCTCATGGTATGACCCCAGAATGTTTTCAGGGATATATTCAAGGTTAACTGCTGACCAATGCCTATTTAGCGCCTACCAGCTTCCCAGTACGGACAATTGAATAGAGTATGTTTATTGATTCATCTGGTTTATCGTAATGGTTGTAGTGAGAATTAGCTACTCTCCTCTTTTTCCATAAGTATTGCAGGAAACATCTGTGTCTTAACAATGCTTGGAACATGTGGAAAAAACATGGTCCCCAGCCTTGACTGATTTACCCATCTCCGGATATTAGGAATCATCCTCCAAGTCTACGTCACCTTCGTCTTATAATCCCATTGTTCCTGCCATTCGAGTAGTCATCACACGCTTCTGCCTCCTGATGACTGCTATCGTCATGACTTTCCATTTGTGAACTTAAATTCTGCACCACTCTTCGGCCAGCATATTCGTTGGAGGCATTTTAACTAGGATCTGAGCAGCCATATCAGATACAGTTTTCTAGCCGAATAAATTTCTAACCCGAATAGCAACAACTCTTTCGGTTTAGCTGAGGGCTGTTCTATTTTGGGCTGACTTCATCACCGCCAGCACTCAAACTAAGGATGCGTACAGCAATTTGCTCTGAGCCACCGAAATAAACAATCATTTAACGTTACAGAGATATTCGTCTTATTTAATTTAATTTACAACTCATTGTTGATATACTTACAAACAGGGTTTAAAATACTAATAAAGGATAGGAGAGATTCTAATCCATTTATTATTCTCAGCGTTCCATAGTCTCATAAATTACTAGGTAATTAATTATAAATATTATTATATTATGAGGTGTTGTCAGTAGCGCAAGGGCGTTAGAAACGTAAAAAAAAGTAATGATAAAATAAAAATAATGATTTTTTTGCAAATGATCCATACAAAAGTTATGTATACGCTACTGGGTGTTGTTAGTATACATTTTTCCTTTATAAACTATTCATTTGCTGTAAAAATGTATAAACTTGTTAAATTACTTACATATTATTTTAAATAACAGATTGTAAATATATTTTAATAAAATAAAAAAATTAAAAAAAGTTATATGTATCTGTTGTATATGATTCTTTTTAACAAACAAACTTGACTTCAAAGTGCAAGTTCAGAAGCTTTACAAGATGTTAAACAATTTATTATTTTATTCAATGTATAATTAAATTATATATAAATATACAATACAATATATATATATTACAAATAGCGAAACTATACATTTTATCTCGAGAAAAACACACAGCCCAAAATTTAATTTTTTTTTTTAAAGCTCGTATTTTTAATTGGCTGTGAAAACTGTGGTAATTTTACATTGTATTGATACATTTATTTTATTTAATTCTGTGAAAATATCAGCCAAGTAATGAAATTGAAATAACCAAATTTTATCAACAAGTCTGATTTTAAACTAAATGGGTGTTAGATAAACAAAACGTACAATTCATTATGTAATTCAAGTAATCGTACAAGTGTTTATCCTCAATAACTAAAGAATATAATAATATTTGAATTTAATTAATTCAGATGTGCCCATGGACCCATGGAGTTCCTAGATTTTTCATTCGGAGCCCTAGGGCTCCGCAGAGCACAGTTTGAGAACCACTGCTCTAGATGTTAAAGACTGAAAAGAGTTTTCAGATAAAATTGGTAATGTAATTATATTTAATCGTATAATTGTTTGGTTCTACGATCGTGGTCATAATGTTGTACTGCTATATGAATACCCTTCAGGAGAATACAAATTAAAAAGTATCTTTTGATCGAAATTTTTTCACAATATTATTAAAATTTTACTGACACTTGCTGTTCATAAGTATAATTTATATGTAATAGGAATACGCTGTTGACTTTGTTATAATTGCTTAAGTAGTACAATATCAGAAAGTTCAATGAATAATAATATCGTTGTAACCGTGAGTAACGACGTATAATTTATTGAATTCTGCTACAACTATATACAGTTATGTATGCTGTTGCTGTTGTTGTTGCAATAGATTGTCATAGATTGTCAACATTGATTACCGTAGGTAACAATTATAGAGCAATTTCATAACTGTGGACATTTCTGACAGGATAAATTTTTTAATCACACGTCGACACATTGACATTAAAAATACAGAACTTAAAATACTTGACCGTTTTGAAAGCGGTCAAATTTAAACTAGATCCGATCGTTATGTGAGTTTGCTGCACTGTAATAAAAAATCCCTTTTATAAAAAACACTGTTAAACCATCATTAACCATTGTGTCATCGTTATCAAGCCAAATAGTTAACAAATTCCAAGTAATCATCCATCGAGTTTCATTATCAGACGTATTATTAAATCTATTTTACTGTATTATCCTAATAATTATAATAATAATAATAAAAATAATAATTAACTGAATGATTTATTTCATGATCTTCAGTTTCTACACGATATTATAGTGCTATTTTACATTTATTCGAAACCGTATTGTGTGATTTTTGTAATTCCGTAATCCGTTGTGTAATTGTGTTGGAAATCAAAACGAAAATTGGTTTTCGTTGATATTAATTTCAAGGTATTTACTAATCTAGGTAAATATTTTCACTTATCATGCATTACGTAATATTCAATATATAACAATAGTGTTTATGTGTGCATTATTTTCAACTAAAATTAAATTTTTATTTTTCTAAGAAGACGTTAATATGGTGAAATTATTTGCTATGAGTGTATTATACAAAGGACCTAATGATGCGACTCTGTTGAAAGCTGCATTTGAACTGCAGTCTTTTGGTTATTTTCAACGCAAGAGTGTTCAAGAGTTTATGGGTTTTGTAACAAAAACAATTGTTGAACGTACAGCTAGTGCTGCTCGGCAATCTGTCAAGGAAAAAGGTATAAATCAGTTAGTTCAAGGTTATTGTTTTTCATTGGTTATCCTTATTTTATTGTCTTAGAGTACATGTGCCATGTTTATGTTCGGGCTGATAATTTAGCTGGTGTTTTAATATCTGACGATGAATATCCACACAGAGTAGCTCATACACTACTTACAAAGGTAAATTGAATGCAGTTCATATAAAATTAAAGTATTATATTATCTTATTTATACTTAAAAATCGTATTTATTTATTTATCTTAAGTAATTACGAAACAAACAATCGCAGTTTACCAGGCATATGTCATTTTATTTTTTGTTATAATCTTCAATTTGTAAACTGTTAATAAATCAAAATTAGCTCACTTCGATGTTTTAAATTGTATACATTTTAATGTAGTAGGTTTATTAGTTTTTGTTTGTCCAAAATTATCATGACTCATCTGAATAATGTTTGAAATGAAATAAATACATTTCTAATTAATTTTAGTGAATACAATTTAAAAACATTTTAATGGTGATGTTATTGAATGGCAATAACATTTTTTGCAACTATAAGTACAAAATACTATGCAATGTATAAACAATTTTGATAACTAAAAATTATATGTTAATATATATAAGTAGGTGAAAAATTATGTTTAAAGTTTATAAATTATTATTTAAAAGCAAAATTAATGCAAAAAAAAAAAAAAAAAAAGAAAGATTGTCTAGTAAACTGCTTTTGTATTATTATTTACATGTGAAATTCTCATTTTTTTAATTTAGACATTGGATGAATTTTCTGCAAAAGTACCTTCACATAGTTGGCCAAAACTTAATGAAACACAAGTAACTTTTAATGAACTAAATATAATGTTAGCCAAGTATCAAAATCCAAAAGAAGCTGATGCAATGACTAAAATTCAACAAGATTTAGATGAAACAAAAATTATTTTGGTAATAATAAATGAGTAATTTATAATTTAACTTGTCTTAATAGTTATTAGTTTTTAATATTAGAAAATTTGTAATTGTTATTAAATGTAAAATCAATAGAATTTGTTAAGATGGTTTGCTTAAATATGTATAAACCCGGGGCAAACTAGCAGATTGGAAGAATAGAAACTTTCTCAAAAGGCCAACCAAAAGTTGAAATTTGGGGCCAGTCTATTTGGTTTTAATCAGTAGTCGAAGTGGATGATAAAAGGATTGGCATCCTTCTACTTATTATATTCTACATTTTTCATCCTTCCACTTATTTTATACAAAATAATACACCCCTTTTATATACAACAATCATTAGTTTATTTTGGTGTTTTTCATAAAAAAATTTTTTTTGAATTGAGTATTTTTATCTCATTTATATTGGATCACTTGACTATTAGATCTAATAAATCTAAATGTAATTTCTTCTAATTGTATGTTGATAAGAAAATTTAAATATGAATCACAAGACTTCTTCTTCGCCTTTCTACCAAAATTGAATTCTAATATATATAATTATGTTTAGGGAACTAATATATTTTTTTTAGTCATTATTTTACTTTTTAAAATAAAAAACAGTAAATATTTTATTTTTTCATATTTAAAGCAATTTTATTAACTTTGTACACCTGACAATGAATTTTGAATTTTAAACCAATTGTACTTAACAAATATAATAATACACCTAGCAAAGCTTAATTTATTTATTTATTTTTATATATAAACTATTTGTTTTTATATTTATATATTACTTTAATTAGTTATATTATATTTATATTATATTTTAGCATAACACAATTGAAGCAGTTTTGGAGCGTGGAGAAAAACTTGACGATTTAGTTGCTAAATCTGAAGGTTTAAGTATGCAATCCAAGGCATTCTACAAAACTGCCAAGAAAACCAATGCCTGTTGTCGAATGTAATGCTATGAAATTATTGGTAATCAATATAACTTGACTGGTTTAAGTATATTATAATTTTTATTATCCAGTTAGCCAACAAATAAGACTACTTTTAAGGATATTTAAATACAATGTTATGGCTTATTTATTTGTACATTCCATTACCTTCCCAGCTTAAAATGTATTCTATAATTGGAAGAAAAAGTGTGTTCATTACTTTTATCCACATTTGAAAACATAATACATAGTTTGTTATAAACAGAAAAAACATGCAACTATGAATACCAATTAAATTAATTTAAAATGTTTTAATACTCAAAACATTTTTTTTATAATTTATATTTTTTATTATAAATATAAATTTTAACCAACAGAGGTCCATAACTAAAACCATATTTTTTTTAACCTTTAATATTGTGTTATAATTTATTTTCAATTTTTTTGATTACTGTAAAATGTAATTCTAATGATTTATTATTTTTAAAATACAATAATTCTCTAAGAAATTTAAAAATGAAACAAAGTTTTATGTCATTACAAAGGGTTTACTTTACATTCATTCATTGCTGATCTTTACTACTTAATAATATATGTAAGAATAAAAATAAACAGGGATTGTGTCAATTTATTTAAAATATTACATGATTGCAAATAATATACAATTTACCTTCGAGCTATCAGTCTCTATTACATTATTATATTAATGACATTTTAATTCTGATTATTAAAATTTATTTTAAATTATTTTTACCACTGATTTTCTCAAATTAAAATTTAAAATATTTATAAATAAATAACTTTTTCATGCCTGTGCTTTGCTATTCTATTATTCTTTTATTCCTAATTACTCATTGCTAAAATAAAAAAAAAAATATAAACAAGATTTATAAATAAGTTCATAGTATTATGATTTGTTAATGTATGATTAAATTATGTTTTTGTAATAAACAATTAAGTACAAAAATAGTATGACAATTTTATATAAATTAGCCATTTACTTATTCAGGCTTCTGTAGATGTAATTATTAAGATTATATTAATAGTGTATTTATTTTTACCTTTTGTGATTAAAAATTAAAAATTAGGTTAAAAAAATATTACAAATGTTGTTATTTTGTTAATCACATATTGATATAGTTAGAAAAAAATTATTTATGCAGTTTATTGTAAACAAATTGGTTTCCCTTTTAAATGATAGAATAATATATTCAAATGTTGCTATTAATTTTTAATAATTTTGAATTAATATAATTTAATCCTTATTCTTTTTGTAATGTGAATAATTTAATATGGATGTTAGACTATTAAATATTGTGATATTTTTTATCTATTCATTATTAACAAAACAGTTTTTTTTTTTACAATAGAACGGTTTTGTTCCTAATTTTTAGGTATCATTTTTAATACATCCCAAATCATACTTGAATGTGAATTTTTCATGAAAAAAAAAACAAAATTGCATTGTAATTATGTATTTTAATTTCCTTTTTTATTATTTGTAAAATAGTTTGTTGTTTATGAAGCTAGTAGTTATGTATATTTATATTGTACTAAATATAAAGTTTTAAAATATTTATAGCCTTTTATTGTTACATTTGACAGTTTATCTATATATTTATATAGAATTAGCCTAACATATTTTGGATTTGGTTTTAAAATATACAATGTTTGTAATTTTAAGTTCAATTTTTTTTATCTATTCTGATTAGTCACATAATATAAATTTTATTTGTGTTATTCTGAATTATAATTTTTGAGTGATTCAATTATTTTAGTTTAAAATATAATATAAATAACATAATAACAGTCACTTGTTATAAATTAATATTTTAATCGTAAATGTATTTATTAATTATTATTGTTATAAATTAGTGTTTTTTCTAAGCTAATATGTTATGGACTAAAAAATGAAATAATTGTATAATTGATAAATAAAAAATAAATCACATTTAACTGATTGTTATTGATAATTATTCTGTAATTTTAAGATGTTTGGCAATGTATAGAAATCTGGTAATGAAATTGAGATTTGTTCTTATTCTTTACTCCTCTGACTGGAAATGGAAGGGTGACATATACTCGTAATTTTAACTTTGTGTCAGTTATTAAGCTAATAAATTATATTTATACATTTGATAAACCATTAAAAAACACATGAAATTATTCTAAAAAACTTCTGATTAGTAGTTCATTTTATCTGAAAATCATTAATTAGAGAACATTTTGAGTATATAGTATTTTATCGTGTTCATATAAATTGATAACACATATATGAAAATATTTATTACGTAAAATTGTAAAATTGAAGTTATTATTATACATCAATATTTTAAATAGAAGAAATAAGGTTAATGTAATATACATGCATGCATGTATATAAAATATATTTTTGATAAAAAACTACCCTTTTTTTTTTCTTTCTTTTTTTTTTTTTTTTTTTTGTCGATAGTAACAACCTAGAAAAACTACAAACAAGTCTATAAGTTTGGTGCCACTTTGGTATGCGCTCTACCGGTTTTTCCTGTTATACGTCAATTCTACACCTGTTCTATATTGGACGACTGTATTTATTATGGATTATAGAACGTGAGTACAAGGCAGGATGAGAAATGCATTCTGATGAAGAGGCTGCATATAGGTGTATTACAAGCCGATGTTTTTTTTTTCATGAAACGATAAATCATCAAATCTCATATGTAGATGAAAATACAGGAGCCCACACTCAAAGCATTGAGAAGTCATGGTTGGACACGAAAATGAAACTATTGAAAAAAATGAGGGGAGTTTCTCTTCACTATTTGCAGTCTCATCTTGATTACTGTTGCTAGCTAATTGATGGTAAGTCAAGATAGTCCTGATCTTTTTCTCGCCTTGTTGGGAGACATTCAGAAGGTGTAACAACAATAAAATTAAGTACAGTTAAGACGACGTATGGTAGAACGCATACCGAAATAAAAACTAGTCGGTAGATCACATACCGAATTAAAAACTTGTTGGTAGAGCGCATACCAAAGTGGCATATAAAAGTTCATCACCCCTGATGTACAGCACGCTTGATCGGTGAACACATTCTGTCGCTAGTGTTGTGGTTTGAATGTTATAAAAATATTTATGTTTTTAATATAATTTAATTATAACATTTTTTTTTTATTATAATGATTTTATGAATAAGTCATCAATTCCTACTTGTGTACCATCTACTGAAACCCCCGAACGCAAGGCTAACCTTAAACAGATATACATATTATGCAGTGGTAAAAAAAAAAAAGAAATTATGTATATTTTAAATGTTTAAATATTAAATACTGATACATTACTATCAAACAGTAATTTGAAAATTATAAATAATAATCAATGTATAAACAATAAAAAAAAATTGTTATTTGAAAGAGGGGGTTCAATTAAGTGAGAGTGGTGAGTAATTTTTTTATTTATTTAACAATTCTCTTCTTAGTCCTATGCTACTGGTAAGATATCTATTTGAAAACTGGTATTGACCGCCATAATTGACGCCATTTAATACTACTAATATTTTATTATATTTTTTAAAGAATAAAAACAATACCTACAACATTTTTCTCACATATGTATAGTAATTAAACTTGAAATGAAATTTTAGTATTTTAAGAACTGTCATCGAAACCGGAACCGATATTTTTTTTTTCTGGGGACCTATCCGGAACCGGAAAATTCATCAAGGTTCCAGCCCCTGGTTTCTAACTAGTCGTACAAGTATGTTAACCTTATCATTGCAGTTTCAGTTATACACTCAAAATTGCATATTCTATATTCTACCAAAAATAATAGGTATAAGCTTGAAGAAATGTAATACATATTTTATAAGTTTTTATATAATGACTAGAAGATATCATAGAATTATTCATGTTCTGATCTCAATACTCAAACTAAAGATGTTAATCAGCACGTAAGGTAGGAAAGACCCCCTCCCTCAAAGATCGTATTGTAGTAACCACCACGGATTAAGGTATCGGTATATATTACTTTATTGCATATTATTTTAACCCCAATAATTTCAAAAAAGGTTTATCCCCCCCCCCCCCCCCCAAAAAAAATAAGCACCGTGTTCGATGCAAATACCTAAATGAATTTTAGGATAATCGTTTACAGTCATACGTTTTTTTTTGAACTCCTGAATAGCTTTGGGCCATGTAATAGTATTCATATTATTGTTATTGAGCCCGACCCTGATTTAAATCCACGGCCATGGGGAAATCTAACGTCAGCACGAATGATGTGTGACGTGGAACTTAGACAGGCAAAACGTTTTCTGGAAGAGTATATGATTTCACTGCATAAGAATAAATTAAGTACATACGTGTCTTCTGCCTACTCGTTTCCACGTGAATGCTAAACTTCGTGATGTTTGTCCGTATGCAGTATCTACTTATTTGTTGAATTGTAATTATTAGTGTTTATAATGAACACGTACACTATTTTATTGTATATCTGTAGGCTCTGACCGTGACGATTTGTACCTGTAATATCAATAAGTATTGCAATGTTTTTTTTCTTTTCGTCGATGCCCGTCAAAAATCGAAGAGCTAGAAATGTACACGCATTTAGTTCTAAGTAGGTACCACCTAAGTATTTTGATTTATCGTTAGACAAAAAAAAGAAATAATAAAATAATAATTATTATTTATAAGGTAATCGTTATTATTATTATTAATAATATTTTTCCGTACCGGTTCGATAAAGAATTAGGAAAATTAGGATTAGGAAGAAATTAGAAGGATTTGGAAGATTTAAGTAGGTAAAGTACTAGTATTTGTTATTGTTTACCGTACATACGCTGAGAATGATCTAAATATCTCTATGCACCTCACATGTTAAATGGGATTCAAAATCTATTTTGCATGTTACGAACATTAAACGTACAGCTTCTCATAGTTTTATTTAATTTTTTTCCAATTTTTATATAATTTATCTGTGCGTTCAATGTAATTATTTCGTTATTTTACTCGTTTTTTTGAGATTTTTAGACTTCGTGATGTGACGACGAATTCCGCATTGTAAGAAATTTCTTAGGTACCTAATAAAATGAACACTATTAAATATATAAGTACACTTAAAACACTTAAATTTGCAAGACGCAAAGTAGGTTTTCAATTCTGTTCACGACACGAAATCCTTCTCAAAGTTTACGCATTTCCGAACGTCAAAACACTCAATATAAGTATACAAATGTTCTGTGTACTTATTTATACATACCAATTATGGTACTGCTGAGAATAATACTGTTAGATAAAGATGTATTATTATGTTACTCATGTCTGCTATCTATGATTTATTATAGTTGCTACCTACTTATTTTTATTTATCATAATT